TTTTCCTTCAAAGTCCTATTTCGAGAAAGTTCTTGCTATCTTCTAATCTTCAACTGTTTCACCTATCATGACTACATTATTCTAGTCATTGCCATTGACTTTGCTTTCAATATAGAAATTAAGCAGCAGAGCAATTCAGGCAATTCAGGCAATTCAGAGACAATACAAAAAATGGAGGACACCACCAATGACTCTCCTGTAAAAGGGGTAGTAATAATCACACTACCACCTCCTGATAATCCTTCTTTAGGCAAAACCATAACTGCATTTACACTCTCTGATTCACCACCCCAACACCAACAACAACAAGAACCACCACAACAAAGTCAATCTTCAGTTCAACAGCAAGATTCAAACACTGGTTTTTTTCATGTTTCTTTAGAAAGAGCTTTCCTTTTTCGGCCAAGAATTGTTCTTGGGCTTTTGGGTATATCTATAATTGCCTTATCATTCTGGTCTTCACTTTCACAAGAGACCCTTTTTGAATTAAGAGATGTGGACCGTGATGATCATAATAGTTCCAACAGTTCTTTTATTCTTCCTTTGTATCCTAAGCGTGGTAGTGGGTGGAATTCAAGGACAGATGTGGAGTTCAAACTTGGGAGGTTTGTGGATTTTAAACCTGATATTGTTATGGAGCTGGTCAATGATCGAGAAAAGATGGCCAAGTCTGTGTCTGCTGCTACTAAGTTAGACTCTTCTGCTAATTTTCCTGTCAAGTGTAATATTCATTTGGATGGGTACGTTCGTCTAATTGAAGTATAGTTGATTCTGCTTTTAACTTGTTCCTATAATTTATTTCAGTATAATTTCTGAAATATTAACTGTTCCTCAATCTCAAACTAATTTGGGGGTGTGTTGTGTGAATTTTCTGTATCCATTCCATTCTATTCCATGTAGAAAATTATCAGACGGTTGAAAAAGCAGCTGCTGGTTTCATTTTGCATTCACACATATCTTCATTTCAACTGATAGAACAGCAACCTATATCTAAAAAGGATCCAAAATTTGTGAATCTCCAATGAAAAAATGGACTTCAAGCCAGGCAAAGAACTAAATTGGTATTGTTACTATCTAAAGATTCTTCTGTCCAATGTTATGTGAAAGCTCCCCTTTTATGATACTTATTGATCTTAACTGTAAAATACCAGCAGTTTTAGTTGCTTTTAGCTGCACTCAATTAATCATTCCTAAGCTGTAACTAGAGAAGATATGCACCTCAGTTTGAAATTAAACAAAATATGCAGATTATTCCATGAATCTCAGCTTTATATTGATTTAACACTTTGCAGTCTAAAGGCTAAACCTTTTTTTGACTTGCTCAACTGTTGCGTGCCAAGGAGAACAGACTGATAACTTGACTCCCCAAGTTGCCTACAAAAGTTTCATCTCAAAATATAAACTCAAGATGCTGGGTCGCTCTAATAAAATAACCAAGTTTTGATTAGTAGTTTTCCATACTCTTCCTCTTTGAAATGTCCAGTGCACTCTGAGTGATATATTTGTTGCTATAAACCGTAATTGGGTCAAGACTTGTTCGACTGGAACACAAGTTGATTTTAACATCATTTCCTATATAGGTTGTACTACACATATATGCTTGTGGGGAATCCTCCTAAGCCTTATTTTCTTGATATCGATACGGGAAGTGACTTGATGTGGATCCAATGTGATGCTCCATGCACTAGCTGTGCCAAGGTAATGCCTAGACCTTGCTATTGTTGTTACTAGCTGCTTCTTCTAGTTCCTACTATCATGCATAACAAGAACGTGCTTGCTATGGACACTACTTGATAGGGAGATATGGAGATTCCTTATACCATCAAATTAGTCAGCCACACTGCAAATTTTTATTGTTCTAATGATGACCACGCCCTTCTTTTTCCAAATTTTGGTCTAAGTTTTAAGATAATCAAATTCGGGTGAGAAAGGGTCTAACGTTTTTGTAATTTATATGGCGGTAGGTGAGCTGTTGGGCCTCTCCAATCACACTTTGTCCACCACTTCAGTTTCCCAAGTGTAGTTAGAAAGTCTGCACTTTATTTTCAAGCTTGTTATTCTATACTAGTTTCTAACATAAGAAGCTTTCCCAGGGAGCCCACCCATTGTACAAGCCCAGAAATGTCAATATGATACCTCCAAAAAACCCCTATTGTGTTGAGGTTCAAGAGAATCTCAGGTCCAAGTATTGTGATAACTGCCATCAATGTGATTATGAGATAGAATATGCCGACCACAGCTCTTCTGTTGGGGTTCTTGCAAAAGATACACTTCAATTGGTGCTTGCAAATGGGACAGGAACCAAGTCAGATGTTGTTTTCGGGTAAAGTTAATCCTTTACCCTTTACATTGTGGCCTACTACTTCTTTATAAGGTTGTAAGTTTTGGCTTGTCATTTGTCAGCTGTGCATATGATCAGCAAGGCACACTTCTCAACACGCTAGCAAACACCGATGGGATCCTTGGACTTAGCAGAGCTCCAATCAGTTTACCTTCTCAGCTAGCAAGCCATGGGTTCATCAACAATGTTATTGGACATTGTCTTGGCACTGATACAAATGGGGGCTACTTGTTTTTAGGCAATGATTTTGTCCCACATTGGCGAATGTCATGGGTCCCTATGCTGAATGCCCCTTTTCTGTGAGTATAGCATTTTGGGTTTGCCTATTACCTTTCTATATTATATTTACTCCTCCTTTGCCTTTGCTTATAATCATGGCCCTGTTTGTTTTTTGGTATTTGAGTTGCCTTATCTTTTCCATTTCTTGCTTTTTTGGTTCATATATGGCTGGTTCTTCTTTACGTAAGCTTTAAAGGTTGCGAACTGCTCTCTCTATATATTGTTGCATCATACTTTTGTGCTTTATAAAGAGATGCTTACCAATGTCTAAACTATAAGAGTGAAACAAAAAAATAACAGAATTATTTCCCAATCATTCTTCTATAATTCTAATTGTCTCCATTTTCCTCGTTGATTTCCTCAGTTTCCGTAGGTTCTGATAGTTTTTACCCCTGTATGCGTCCTGAGTAATGGTATATTGTCAGGTCCTTATTGCGCCTCATCCTTTCATGTTCAGAAATCTTTATCAAGCAGGATTGATGAAAATGAACTATGGAAGAAAAGAACTCCAATTAGGCAGCATGAGAGATGGAAAAGGAACTGTAGTGTTTGACAGTGGCAGTACTTACACTTATTTCACAAATCAAGGATATAAAGCTTTAATTTCCATGGTAAGTCAGAGCGATTAGTCCATTTCTTTAGAAGATCGTGAATTTCTTTGATGATTATTCACCAACTATTTGCTCCTTTTTCACGATGATTGCAGCTTGAAGAGATTTCTAGTGAAGATCTTATCAAAGATGCATCAGACACGACATTACCCATTTGCTGGCGAGCTAAATTTCCAGTAAGGTATAACAATGCAAGATATATATAAGCGATTGGCTGCAGGAGTTGACAATCAAAATTTGAAGTTGTAGTTTCTGATAGCGCTTTCCTCTGGTGTGTATCTGTGCTAGCTGTTACTGCTTTCAAGAAATTTGATTTCAAGTGATAACATAGTGATACAGGAAATAATATCAATCTAGAGATCCTCAAATCAGCATGAAACTTATTGCTTCACTTTTTTGCGTACGCCACATAGTTTTTCATCATTGCTTCTAAGTGAAATCATTTTTGCCTGAAGCCAGAGTTGCATTTATATAACCAGCCTAAAACCCGCCTACTCTGCATTGTTATCGGGAATGTTGATCGAATTCCCTTTTCTCACCATTCCTGTTTCTATTTTCTGATGACTCCTTGCTAATATAATTATTCTTTTCATATTATGCTTGCAGGTCTATTACAGAGGTAAGGCAATTCTTCAAACCACTAAACCTTCAATTTGGAAGCAAGTGGCGTATAGCGTCCACAAAGCTCTCGATTCCTGCAGAGGGGTATTTGACTACAAGTGTGAGTAATCTCTTGTTTTTCTTGGTCAATGGTGCTTTCTCGTCCCCTCCCCCGCCCCTTCCTCTTTTGCTTTTTCTCTCAACCAACAATGTTGAATTATTCTGCTGCAGGAAAAGGGTAATGTGTGTTTAGGTATACTTGACGGAAGCAATATTCATGATGGTTCTGCTATAATACTTGGAGGTACTGTTTCCTAAAATGACAGAATATCATAATAGATTTATTTAAACTGAACAGAAATGTTCAGAAGTAACTTGTTAATCAGTTGGGCTTGGTGTGTGAGTGTTCTAATGGACTATTCTGGATTTGAGCCAATTAAGTGTTCTGATGGAGACCCATTTCTCTTCACTTGTTAGTTTATAGGTTCTCTCCGTAGCACAAACAATGAATCAGATCACAAAAGTCCATAAGCTGTGAACATAGGAAATTTGTGTGTTCTGGTTTGAGTTCAACTATAGTTATTAGTATCTGATTCTTCTACAGTAAACAATTCTGTTACTTGTGTCATCTCTTGCAGATATTTCACTACGTGGTCAGTTGTTCGTATATGACAATGTTAACGAGAAGATTGGATGGATAAGATCAAATTGTGAACGGCCACAGAAACTTTTGAGTCTTCCATTTTTTTGACAGAGGACACCACTATAACTCCATTTCTACAGTAATCACAAACTGTTATTCTTCCTGTTCGATATGTTTGGTGATTGGAAGTTATAACCTTTTAGCTAGGGGAAGAGTCTGTATAGAACGATTTTGCTTTCTGATGTAGCTATGTTCCTAGTGTGTATATCTATTTTTTTGTTCCACACTTTGAAGCTTTACTTTTCTCTTTTTTGATGCAATAGTAATCAAAACGTGAAAAAAAATTGAACGTTAAATAGAATATATGAGCAATCAATTATTCAGGTTATCTCACTGGTCCGACCGTTGAAAATTAGGGTCCCACTGACCCTGCTCATGTAAAATAGGGGGTCCTGTACTCCAATTAATCTACCACGCTAACATCTTAAGACTGCCTCACGTTAAATAGGGGGTGCTTAAAACTTGAATGAACTTTTTGACAAGTCAGTCAAAACTTTGCAAGATTGTAAGCAGTCAATAATTTTGAAAAACAATTCAATAGAGCCTCAAAATTTTAATAGCTCATATTTTTGCTTATCGACAAAAAATAACTTTCCGGCTCAAACATATTACATCTAATAGCCCGAAATATCTATTTTGTATATTTTTTATATATAGACGGTCTATTTTGTATATTTGTTGTATAGTGACAGTCTATTTTTTATAATGACTGTCTATTTTATATAGTTTTTGTATAGTGACAGTTTATTTAGTATATATTTTGTATAGTGACAGTCTATTATATATATATTTTTGTATTGTGACAGTCTATTGTATATAAATTGTACAATGACAGTCTATTTTGTATATTTCTGTATAGTGACAGTCTATTTTGTATATATATTGTATAGTGATAGTCTATTTAATATATTTTTTATATAATGACAGTCTATTTTTGTATATTTTTGTATAGTGACAGTCTAGTTTGTACTCCCTCCGTTTTAATTTATGTGAATCCATTTGACTGGGCAGAGTTTAAGAAAAGAGAGAAGACTTTTAAACTTGTGGTGTAAAATAAGGCACATATATTTTGTGTGGCTATAAATCATTGCATAAAGATAAATTGTTGCCAAATAAGGAAAGAGATTATTCTTTTTGGCACGAACTAAAAAGAAAATAAGTTCACATAAATTGAAACGGATGGAGTATATATTTTGTATAGTGACAATATATTTAGTATATTTTTTGTATAATGACAGTCTATTTTGTATATTTTTGTACAGTAACAGTCTATTTTGTATATTTTTTTCATTTCACTTCAACCAACCCTTCATTTTTGTTGTTCTTTTACTAATATATCCTCCTTACATCAATCAAATTCCTAATATTACCATTCACCTTAGTAAAGCCGAGATAAACCGTAACAAGCGATCCCGAGAAGACTCGAAGTCCGCCTCGACCGGGTCAAAACGAGTGCATACAGAGGAGGAGGAGGCAGTTCTCAACTCACACGAGTAGAACCAAGTTAACTCGGAGCCTGAGGTGAACCCTAACTCCGCCGATCCTGATGCCGGTCTAGGCTTGTATTCGCCGGACGTCAAGCAGATCAGAGAAGAAATATTGGACATCTTAGCTGAACCGGAAACTGTTACAGACCGTCTACCGGAGGTTCAGGATCTGGACTCGGTAATCAGGAGCTTCGAGGAAGAGATTGTTCATCCGTTAACTCAGCCTCAACCAGACCTCTGCTACCTTCTAGAAGCTTCGGATGACGAGCTCGGCCTCCCTCCCACCGCTTCAGCTTCTGATGACCATTTTAACGCCAAAATTGACACGCCAGAGAACGCCGCTGGAATTAGATTTTTGTTTCCATGATAATTGGGTTGGTTGCTAGCCTTTTAATTAGTTTTGGGCTATAAAATACATAATGCAATTTTGTAGCTAGCGGCTGATATTAGAATCTAGCGGTCGGCCATAAATGAAGTTTACGAAATCATAATTCAAATTTCAACATGGACAAAAACACTCCGGACAATTTCTTCCTAATGGTTTAAACCCTGTATCAAAACTAGTTGATGATAAAATAAATATCAGTTGTTGGAAAGCGTGTCAGGATAATAGAACTAAAAAAATATTTGAAAGAAAAAATTAATAATCGATAATTTTTTACCTACTCTACGGCCACACAAATAATAACTCTTTATTAATTGAAAAGAGAAAGGAGAAGTTGAGGGATGATATGCAAATGAAAATGCATACCCCTTACATCGGCAATCAGATGATGTAAGTACTTATGTCGGTATTCCTATGATGTAAGCGTTTACGTCGGTAGGACATTCAAATACCTGTAAAAGGGGTATGCATTTTTATTTGCATATCATCCCCAACTTCTTCTTTTTCTCTTCAATTAATAAAGAGTTATTCTTTGTGTGACCGTGAAGTAGGTAAAAATTACCGAATCACGTAAATCTTCTCTTGTATTGTGCAATTTATTACTTTTCTCTTTTAAATATTTTTTTCTTTGAATAGCCTGACATGCTTCCCAACAACCTTGTATCAAAATTACTTGATGATAAAATAATTAAAGTGCGCATAAGCTGACTTGAAAACCACAATAATATTGCTAAATAGTATATAGGAAATACGGCAAATGCCTTCTGTCAACTTTGTGTATAAGACAGGCAAAACTAATGTATAAACTGTTTTCTCTCACCTCACTTTTAAGTTTTTCCCTGTTAGCCTAATCATGTTCCCAGAGAAGTCGTTTCTCAGCAACTTAAATCATTACTAACTCGCGCTTATCCAGATTCCGCTATACTAAAAATTAGAGAATTTTTAATCGATGGAGAATTCTATTCAAGGTTTCATAATTATGGCTATTAAATAGTAGAGATTCTCAAGCAAAGTGCGTGAGAGGTAGAAGCTCTAGTTTTTAAAACCAAGGACTTTGCTTTGTCATAGTTTTTGCATCTAAAACTTTCAAGAGGAAGGTAACTGCATTTTTCATGAGCAGTTGCATCTAAATAATGACGGTATATGAAACATAAGTGCAACAAATGCGAACTGGAGCCCCCTCGGTATATCTACTGCTATTTGCCAACTGTATACTCGATACTGAATATTATCCAAGCATCCAGCTATAAACCAAATGTGATACTTCAGTTTCTAATTAACCCTGAAGGAATCATCATAAATAATGAAAATTTCAGGAAGAACACTAGCAGATCTAAGTACTTTAGTTGCAGAATTTCCACATATATTGGTTCTAAATCATAGAGCGATTTCCTTAACAAACCACCGTCCACCAACACATTCAAAAACCTAAGCTCAACTTCTATTACTCTTTTTATGGCAGGTCCGATGGGAAAATGCTGTCATATTTTATAGTAGTAACTTTCTTAGTCAATGTCCAGAAATGCTAGACAAGAATGATTTGATATCTAAAGACGACAAAAGCTCTTGGACATCTTTGTTCACAATTGACAATGGACAAGGAGAAAACTACTTGAACTATTCAATTGCCTTTAACTAGATATCATCACTTGGTTGCTTGTAGGGCTTGGTTGGCGAAAAACCTAACATCAACATCTGGATCCTCACTGAGTTCAACCAAACATGGTCGAATTGTTGTCTCCACGACCTGCACATAATGATTCGCGGTTAATAGTACCAGATTTAGCACTCCTTTCTCCAAAGGAAAAAATCATGAAATGATAAAAGATATGTCCCCTATCAAGCATTTCAAGTCAATCTTTGCTTTTAACTCCCATGAATATATTAGTTATTACCTTATTACTAAGGATCAGTAGACAGTCTATCGATTAACTATGCCTCAATACCAAAATGGTAGGATAGGCTATAAGTCCTCTATTTTCCATTCTGCTCTATTCAAGTTCATTTCGTTCATTAAATGATACACCTGGATGCAGATGTAACTCATGCCTCGGAGAGTGCGACCAAATGCATTTATTAATACAAAAATCCATCATAATCTGCCTATTTTTACAGTTAACTTCAACCTACCACAACTCTTCTCCTACTCTCTCGGGACCTGACACTAGTTATGGAAAGTTCAAATAGGTCAATTGACATGGGTGGAGTCGCGCACTGGGCAGTCTAGTTTACATTAATAAAGCAAATGCATGAAATACAGACAAATGTCAGCCTTTAAACAAACTAGAAGTAAATTGATGCTTACAGATTGTTCAACTATTGGAATAAGAGACTGCAACACCTTAGCCACATTGAACTTGATATTCGGTACCCTGGAACATGCAAGTATTAGACCTGTAAGCTTAAAATTACCCAACAAAATGGTAAAGCATAAATAAACTGAAGACTAACCTGTCTTTTGAAGCAGTAATTATAACTGGCAGAAGTTTGGAACAAGTAATTTCTGAGCCCATTACAGGGGCAAGAAGAGAAATTGCATGAAGGATGGTCATCCGGTAAAGATAATGTGGGTCATTAATCATATCCAACACCTGAAAAATGAATCAGTCAAGTTATCGAAAGAGGAAAACCTAAGACCTCCCACCAGCCACAAAAGAAATGCAAAAGACTCCACTAGTTGAACTTGAATTAAAATAATATATTTTTTGATTCTGGAACATCATCAGGTAATTTATTGATTCTGGACAAGATATTCCACATATCACGACTCATCACAGACCAGGAGATAATCTCTTAGTAATCAGTGATAAACCATGTATGGAAAGTAACACTACTAAATTCTTTTTTCCTTAAAGAAATTCAAGAGAAGAAACTGCTAAAGTATTACATCAGCAAACTATCAACCAGCTTATTAAAGGCAACAGGAAAACCTGTGGAACTATGTGCTCCATTGCCCATGTTGGACCAAATTCCTCAGCAAGGCGCTTAACATTGTTTGCTGCTGCATCTCTAATAGAGTAAACCTGCAAGTTGAAGAATGATAATAAGAAAGACATAAAAGAGGAATACAAGAACATTGCAAAGAATTGCACAACGTGATGTAATTGGTTTCATTATGAGTACCCTAAAAGAAGCCAGGATAGATGGCAATAAGTGATATTCAAGATACTAAGTGACCATGACAAGAAGAAGCATCAGATGTGATTTCTAAAGGCAGAATTAAGACCAAAGAATCAGGAAAAAGAGTTGCAGCAGAAATGTTCTGTAGGTATAAGCAAGTGACCTAAAATATGGACTATCTCTGAGTAAGCAAGTTCCATGTATCTTGACTGAACATAATTAAATCCTCCATCGAGACACCAAGAAATGGTATGACTTAATATTATGTGGCATAATATCCATAATGGCTTTCTATCCATGTGTGGAACGTCTTAAAATGGACACCACATCAGAACTCTTTGAGCCACTAGAAGAGGCAGTCGCTATAGTAACTTCTTAAAAAAATGTCATGCAATATAGCTCCTTGCAACTTTACATAATTAATGTGTCTCTAGTTGTCAGGATATGCCTATTATGTGACCATTCCCAGTGACATGCTGACTGCTTTTCTCCAGAACAGATACTGCTCCCCAGCTGCTTCCTAGAAATACAAGTCTCTTAATGCTAAAGTGGATCTTAACTGCTACATAGAGTCCCGAGATACTTATTGTAGAAATAAGATTTTTGTAGGTATATATTGAAACAAAGAAGTATTTTAATCAAACTAGCATCAACCAGGCAGTGGCGGATGCACCATAGAACTACTGGGTTCAACTGAACCCAGTACTTTCGACGCGGAGCATAAATTTATGTGTAAAATATCACTAAAATTGCAATAAATAGTAGATATGAACCCATAACTTTAAATGCTGAACCCATAGAACTAAAATCCTAGATCCGCCTCAGCAACCAGTGCCATCATTTACCAGTTCTTAACTATGTCTTCTTAACTCATTCAAACTATATCAAAGAGCCATCTCGTGTTCCATCTCCCCTAACTCAAAAGGTCTCATTTTTCCAAAACAGGCATTTAGAGATAACAGACCATAGTAATTTTTTATGCCTTTACACCATAAAACAGGCAATTTGATCATAGTCACTTTATCCAGACACAAACTAGAATGTTCGCAGTTCTTTCTGTCTAAAGCATCAGTAGGCATAACAAGCAACAGAAAGCTGCACAGAAACCTTGTCCTTTAGCCATTGCATGCATAGAGCACCGAGCTTGTCATCAAAAAAGCCGACCCCCAGCTGACTTGCCAATAGAGGTATGTACTCAATTATTGCAAGCCGAACCCTCCAGTGTCTATCCTCTGCAAGTTCAACAATAGCTGGCAGCAGGGATTGGGAGAGCAAATCAATTCCAATCACCTGCAATTAATTGTAATTTAATTTCATATAGAAGAACATGAAAAACAGGATATAGGTTGGTAGGTTCAGAAGTCACCAAGGCTCAAATTAGGCAAAGTAACTTCAAGTACAGAGTGATAATATTGAATTGTAGCTAACCTGGTTTACTTGATCAAGCTTACTGATAATATTCAAACGAACATCAGGAAACTCATCCTTCAGAAGAGAGAGGAAAATTGGGAGAAGCTGCTCTATAGTTGCATCCTATAGTTACCAGTACGGAAACATTAAACTCCTGTTAGAGATATCATTGACTAAAAATTGGAAAAGCTGCAAAGAAAGTAATGTGTTCCAAAAAAGGCAGTATTATTTTGGGTTCAAAACAACAATGAGAACAATAATATAATTGACATCATCGAAGTCAAAAAAACATAAAAGCCATAATGGCTGCAAGACCGAGGAAAAAATTCTTCAGGATAAACTACTAACAAGTGCCTACACAGTAATCGATAACATACTGCTAAAATCTGTTTTCAACTTTGGATTCAAGAAAAGGTAAGAAAAGTTAAAGAAGAAATAAGCAGACAACAGGA